CTCCAGGTGCAATTCCGGCTCGCGGAACGTCAATCCGTCAGTTATCCTCTTCAATTCTGGAACGAGGGAATCGACCAGCGATGAGTGGAATGCATTGGTCACGTCCAGACATTTGTATTTGAGACGAGAAAATGCTGGCTTTGTGGAAAGCATCACACGCACTGCGTTCATCGCTTCTGTTGCTCCAGCTAATGTATAGCTACGGGGACCGTTGAAGCAGGCGATACTAGCGGGAGACGTTCCAGTCGACACAGACTTCGCGGCTTCCGCTAGCAGACGCTTGACTTCGTGGAGCTCGCCCTCTACAGCAATCATGGCCCCGGGATCTGGTCCCCAACTGTCCCGAATCAAAGTCGCCCGTCTAGCGACTAGGAGTAACGCATCCTCAAGGCACAGCGCCCCAGATATGCAGAGAGAAGTTAGCTCTCCAAAGCTATGGCCAACAACGGCCGTTACTGTGAGGCCACAGTCTATCCAGGAGCGAGCGCTGGCATATTGCAGAGCGAACAGCTGTGTCTGTAGCTTGACCTGGTCCGCGATCGGCGTGGACTCAAAGATGCTAGGATAGAGACTATCATACCCGAACGACTCCAGTATTCTGCTGCAGTCATCGAGATGATTGCGCAGAATGTGCATTGTGTCGTATACGGTGCGATCCAGCCCAACCGAAGTTGACACCTGCCCACCAAAACACAAAACCACGGGGCGGGCGCACTTCGCCATGCGGAGAATTTGACTTTCGTCTCCATCAGTAACTGAAAGTAGCCTCGACTCCAGCTCTTTGAGTGAACTGCAATTGAATATCAGGTGCCTGTCGAGGGTCGGGCTACATTGTCGCGCGACGTTGAACGAGACGTTAGCCAACGATGTTAGATGGCTGGCAGAAACGGCCTGATCTTGCAAGAGACTGTAGAACTTTCGTGCATAATCACGCAGACGGTTCTCGTCCCACCCACAGAATCGGAAGGGCAGGGAGATGCCGGGGGCGTGAATAGCAGAGGCACCGCTCCCGGTTCGAACGCCAGGTGGCTGAGTGACTACCATGGATGCGTTCGACCCACAGGCACCGTAATTATTGATCAGCGCTGCGCGGAAATCCGATTGCCATGGTTTTAACTTGGTGGTGATCTCGATTTGATCATCGACAGCCGCCTGGATGTGTGGGTTCAGATTGTGGAAGTTCGGTTGGGGTGGGAGCTTTCCTTCGTGAATCATCAGGAGTACCTTGACCAACGCTACCATGCCAGAGACCCCTTCGGTATGCCCAACTAGCCCTTTGACTGACCCCAAGGTCAGCGGGGCTGCTCGTTGTGGACCACCCATTACCTGCCTCACGCTCCTATATTCGGCCGGGTCACCCGCTTGTGTTCCGGTGCCATGAGCCTCGACAACGGAGATTTCATGCGGGCGGATGTGGGCCTGGCGAATGACTTTGTCGAACAAACCTGCCAGCGATGGTGCATGAGGGACCACCACCGGGGTGCAGTTGTCATTCTGCTCTACCGCGGTGCTGGCGATACTACCCAGGATTGTGTCACCGTCAGCCAGCGCGTCGGACATCTTCTTGATAAAGATCGCTGCAAACCCCTCGCCGCGGCAATAGCCATCAGCCTTTTCATCAAACGGCTTGCATGGTCCCGTGGGGGAGACGAACGACGCTCCATTCAGATTATCGAACGCGAGCGGACTCGTGAGAGCATTGGCGCCTCCAACCAGCGCAGCTTTGCAGTCACCATTGAGGATGGCCCTGCAGGCGTGGTGCAGCGCAACGGCAGAGCCGGAACATGCAGTGTCAATACACAGCGCTGGCCCGCGCCATCCGAAGTAATGGCTCACCTTACCGGCCATGAAGCTCCGCAGTAGACCCGTGGCAGCATAGGCCGTCGCGGGATGGCAATTAACGTTATGCTCATAGTCGACGGTGCAGCAGGTGACATAGCACCCAACATCCTTAGTGGCATTCTTCTTGTGGAAGTATCCCGCTTGCTGAAGAGCCTGGTATGCGACCTGCAGAAACAACCGTTGCTGTGGATCCTGAGACATGACCTCCCTGGGCACCTTCTTGAAAAACTTGTGGTCGAAGGCATCGATGTCATTGACAAAATTGCCCCACCAGGGACCAATCGCGCCTGGCCTCCATGGGGTCTCATAGTCCTTGTAGCGTTCCGGCGGCAGCTCCCGGTGCTGCGATTCGCCCGCACACAAGAGCTTCCAGAACTCCTCTAGATCATCAGCACCAGCCACCCGGCAAGCCATGCCGACCACAGCAATGTCGTCGTCGTATATCGTCGGGGTCGACTGAAATGGCGACACGCGCGACTGGAAGTCCAGGTTCAAATCCATATAGTGCACCACGCGGCTTCCCAGCGTGCGCATGAATGTCGGGGGAACGCAGCGCTCCGATCCAAGTTCCACCACGATCGACTGCGTGTTTTCCAGTTGGGCCCGATGCATAGCCGCAAACGTCGGACCCCACTGACACTGCTGGGCCAGGATGGAGCGCAGAACTACCTGATGAAGCGGACCCTCATAGATGGGCTCATTGGTGATATTAGTCCACGTATGCCGTGGCAACTGCGAAGCATCTGGCAGTTGCAACGCGGGATCGGCCTCACACATCTGCCCCAGTGTATGCAATAGTTTCTGATGGCCCGGCCAATGATAGCGCCCGTTGAAATTGATGTGGTATGCGGAGAATCTGGCCGTCTGGAGCGCTTGCTGCAGCCGACCCAGGCTCTTCCGTGGTGTCATGATAGTCGCGCGGTTCGTATCATATCTAACCGTGATATACGCCTAACATACAGGGCATTAGCGCTCATCTTGTGAGTCACTCCCCAAAATATCGGCCAACTTACCTCCGGATGCTGCTTCAGCACATGAGCCAGCTCCCCCTCCAATTCCGGTTTCTTCCACACGGTCGATAGCGAGGTATACTTCTCGCGGTTTTCCTGTTCATCTCCGAGGGCCCCCAGCAGGGTCGCCAGCCGAATCCCCACGGCGCCATACTCGCGCAACTGGGCCCGATTCGTGACGGTCGAAGCGACCGCGGCGCTGAGAAAGCCGAACGAGAATCCCAAAATCTCCACAACCGGGCTCGTCTCGGCGTCCACGACGCCGTGCGCGGAGTAATCCGGGTGTGTCAGCTGCAGGTAGCGCGTGAACTGCAGCAGATGGGTGATCATCAGAAGCGGGGCATGCTGGAGGTAGGGCAGCGGGAAGTGGCGGTCGGCGACTTTGCCGGTGCGGATCCACTGGTTCAGATCGCGCAGCTGCTGCTCGCCCGGCAATGCTTGCAGCGCCGGCAGGTACTTGGTGGCGGCGGTGCGCCAGTAGACGGGCAGCTCCGCCAGCACGTCCAGCACCCAGTGGTTGTCGGGCGTGTCCAGGATGACGCGCCGCAGGCGCCGGAAGTCGTTGGCGTCGAACTGCAGGGCCTGGCAGCCGAACAGCAGCACCGTCTTGCCTCCCGGCGGAGGCGAGAGTTGACTGGCCATGAGGTTTGGGTGTATGCTTTGTTTGCCACTCACAAATCACAAACCAAGTAGACAGGCAAGCAAGCAAACAGACCAACGAACAGGACACCCCAGCACAGACCCAAAGTCTACAGCTCTCGCAAGTATCAATATACTGTATATTGATCGTGTCAAACTAATCCCGCGGAGGGAACGACCAACAACTGCTGATGAGGTAAGAATCAAGCAATCCAGCAAGCAAACTGTTGCCCCACAAACAGAACGAGGTGGTACTCACAACCTCCAAACCAGGGAGACTTTTCTTCCCGCTAAAGCGATAATGAACACGCGGGAATATCAGCCTCTACCCGGAGAAAGAATCACAAAACAAGAGACCCGTAGGGTAGCTATCACTCAATGCCAAAGGGAAAAAAGAAAGTCACGAATCCATACACAACTGACAACCAGAAAGAAAACAGACAGCGGCCAGCTTTTAATGCACAAATCCCACCGGCAAAGACCGTAGCCGAAACACACAGACAGCGACAGGCAGAGGTAATGTTGTATGTGTGCACAGTCAGTCCCACGGATGAACTGATCTACCGGCCTTTGGCCTTCCCAACCCAGTTTCCGTCAGGCATACATGATACTCAACCATCCAAAAACAGGTGGGTAGAGTTACACCCAGCCCTGTGAAGAGACAGGGAAACGGGAAACGGGAAACCGAGATCCCAACTCATTAAACTGGCTACCTAATTAAATCTTTCCAATCAACTAGATCGTGCCAACATTGAAATGAGAGGCTCGCGAACCCCTGTGGCTGACAAGTATGGCATATTCTGGTAGCATTCACATTGCTTTTTCTTATTTTACCCTAACTACCTTGACTACATACTACATAGAGAAACGACCTAACAGCTGATGATCCCGGAACACATTCTATGCTTCCTTCTTCTGATGAGGGAAATAATCCTATTTTTAGATCCACGGAAGCAAAATCGTATTCCCAAAAAGCGAAATCAGTCGGACAGGAAACCACCAGCCTGAACTAAAATATCCAGACAGAATCAAGAACGACAGACAGCTAGAGACAAAATGGGCGGAGTTTATTCCTCGGCGTATCTCCTCGGGCTAGCTAGCTGGGTGACAGATCCATCCAGTCCAGACTAGAAGGCGACAAGGTTGCACGATGGCCTGATGCTACGGTATGGTGCTCGCTCCGCCCTTCTCAGCCCTCATCTCTACCCGGGTATTGGCTCCATCATCAAGCCGACTTACTCCTCGGAGAGAAGAAAACAAGAAAGAGGAAAGGTCGATCGACGGGGTCTGATTATTTTGTTTTTGATTTATCGACCTCTTTCCGGTTGGTTGGAGAAGACGTAGTCTCCTATCGCCGTTGGCAAGACGAAAGAGGCTTCGGAGTTGATAACAGCCCGGGGATAAGCAGCGGAGTTTGGAGGGAGGGATTGTCTGATCGTGTAGTGGTCCATGGAGAAAGGAGTTATGGAGATAGGAGATAACCGAATTTCATGCACACGAGGTATAATTCCGTTATATTAGGTTGAACTGTATCTTATAAGCAAGCCCCCGGCTGCTCCCCTTCATGCATCCCCGTGGCCAGCCCTTCAATATAATATCCTGCCATCTGATGGGCAACGAACACAACACCACCCAACAGCAACAGTTCATTGAGTCCTATGAGCCTGCAGAGGCGATTGAAGCTGAATCGAGCCAAATCAAGAGTCGGGAGAAAAAGTACGGATGATAAACCTTGCCCTCATTCATAACGCCTCGGCCATAACCATAAAACCACAAGCTTTCCACGCAACAATGATGACCTTATTTCAAGCCAATCCAGACCAACACCGAAAATGATAAAATCAATCGATAAAACAGATGCAGTTCTCGTTGAGAGAATACGGACTATTAAACTGCAGACAGGGTCGGACTCTGCACGGGGTTCTTCACTCTTTCTAGGTCGCCCAAGCATTCCAGCAGCTCATGCAGCATGACCTCGAACGAGGGATCAAGGTACGCATGAGCAGTCAGAAATTCGGTGCACATCATCAAGGGAATTGGGGTGAGAGGGTGGACCTTCAGGAGCATGGACGTCAGCATCGTTACGCTTACAAACTTCCTGCTTTCCGGAGCCTCCCCTGGCTTGCTGGCTGTAATCTGGCTGCGAAACAATCACCTCCACGAGCAACGTATATCACTCCATGCCCTGTGAAAGAGGCGAGTCCAAATGCAGGGGTGGCTTCCAACAGACCCGGCTTGAGCCGCCAAGGTGATACAAAACGAAAAAATGTAACTAACCTTAAAATACCCCAACTGTCCTTGCACCTTCACCAGCCCTACCACCTCATGCGCGGCTAGCACACATAGCCGCTCATCTTCAATGATGCCTAATAGTTGATCCCCACCAGACTTCCACGCGACGGACTCGAGAACGTTGTGCAGGAACAGCACCATACTTTGCGCAACGATGCGCGCGAACATGATTAAGGGATCATCCAGAGCCTGCGGATTGGATGAAAGGGATTGAATTCGGGCACTGAGGATTGCATGAAGAGCGTGATGACGATTCCAGAAGGCATCAAGCGAATTTGGAATCGGGGTGTGGGGACTTGTGGGGGAAAGAGGCGGGTGAAACGGTTGGAAGGGTTGCTCCATCACCAGAGCTTGGCGGTGCGAGAGGACTCGACCGACGATCGTGGCTAGGAGGATGAATTCGGTGAAGCTCGAGTGGGTGACTTGATTGAGATCCGGATTGAGGACGGGTGTTGCTGTGGGGTTGGTTGGTGTTGCCACGGGTGGGAAGGCCATTGTAAGGTGGGTGGGTGAAGTCGGGGAATGAGGAATGGCGTAGATGTGGGGATATTGGTATAGATTGGGCTGAAATGGATTATGAAGGTGAGGATGCTGGTTCATAACTTCGCGTAAGTATGGTGTTAGGGTTGGTTGCCCGCATTGGAACTCCTCTTCCGGGCTGGGCAGCCGGGTGGTGATCTGCTTATCCAGGGTTAGCAGCGTTCCTTGCACTCAAGATGGACGCACGGTTGAACGAACCACTGGTTCATGCAGAGTAAACGGCAACCCATTATGGAAACTGATAAATCGATCCAACGAATACGCCATCCAGAAAGTCCTGCGCTGCTCCTCCAGCCCAATCCAATCCACCAATATAGCTTCCTGTTCCCGTGCCATCGTCACCGGGTTGGTGGAATCATCCAGCTCATATAGCCGCATTCCTAATACCAGTCGGCAGCATCTTCCTATGCTCATCCAGGCCTGGAGAGCCGACCGTTGCATGTACTCGTAAAGCCCAATTAGAATCCATGCCTGAGCCTGTTCCAGCCCTGCGATCATTGTTATACTATCTGGTCGATCTAAGAAATCGAGAATTTTTCGCGTTTCGGTGTACAGCTGATCGCGTAGAGCCTGAAACTGGGCAGAAACAGAGGCTGCCACCGTCCACATAGCGTATTGTAGACAGACCTGGCTATCAGACTTCTTGGGTTGGCGAGCCCAAACGTGATAGCGCCAGCGCTGGAGGATAGGCGCGAACGGATGCACCCGATCGAAATACAGTTGGTCACTGCCGATAGGTTAGAGGTGAACAGTCTTCCTAGGATCGAGAGCAACAGCATACAGTTCAGCTCGCATCAGCTCCGAGACCAGGCCTGTCGACCGTGGTAACGACTCTGGTGTCCTTGGTGATTGGATCTTGGTGGATGAGATGGTGGCATGAGCATCTCTCTCGCCCGTCTCCAGCTCCTCCCCAGGCCCCAACACCGGGTCCGGGAGTGTTGACAGAGATACGGAAACCGGGATTGAATCAGACAGTGAAGTGAGGTCCCGGAGGGGATCATCCTCCGAGTCACAGTCAAGTACCGTGCCGTCAAATAGACTCGCCATCTGGTGGTTGATTTCTGGATGCTGATCTGCGAGGCAGCGCTCTAAGGCAGCTGTTGTGCGTCAGTCGTCAATACGCATCCACTGAGCATCAAAGGCGCTGTACCGATTCTTGTGCGCAGCGTACGCAACTGACCCTTTCGAGGTCCCCGAGGCAATCTGGTGGTGTTGATCTTGCACTCAATCCCTGTCTCAAAACACACCTGACACTGAGGCCGACGACGGTCACAGCGCACTTTTCGCCGTCGACACTCCTCACAGGCCGAGCCAGGGCGTTGTCTTGAGATTGTAGGCGTCGACGTGACCATATCGGGGGTGATGAAGTGTATACCCGCAGACCAGTTCCACTGTTGGTTGCTGTGACAAAGTGAAAGCGACCTCCGCAGCGCTTGGTTTCCTGACTTATAGCCGAGCCCGGTCGACAGTGAGAAGCTGCGTCGATCCAGGCTTCTCTTTGCTCGAACCGATGACTAGTGGGTTGTGCTAAGATACCAAAGCAATGGACCGACCGCGCGCGCCAGCACTAGTCGGACTAGACAAGACGAACCAGTGAGTAGAGGAGCCAGTCCGATACCGAGGAAGGAGAGCCCATCCGGGCGACTCATGCTTGCTTTTTGGGGTATTAAGCTCATCCACACAGTCAGCGCCGACGAGCCAGTCGGGAAGGGTGTGGCGGTCGATCCTTACAGACCCAAATGGTGACTCGACGTGCGTCCTGAAAGAACACGTTCTAGCTAGTGCAATGTGATGACTGCCCTGCAGGATGCAGATCGCAGTCGGTAGCGCGTTCGCTGACTGGTTCTGTTGTTATTTGAACGAGGCCTTTCTGACCAGAAGGGCAAGACGAGAGAGCTAGAATAGCCCTGCACTCTGCAGGCTGCAGCTGATCCTGGAGATACATCAGGGGCAATGGTGGGGAGAGGTATAGATGAGGGTTGGACAAGCCTTTGTTGATCCACTATTACTCACCATCGGCGCTTGACAGCGATGGGAAAGGCATGAACTGCGATCATCTTGACCTCCACGATCTCTCAGGGTTCACTAAATGACCAGTGCCACTGCTGTCGATTTGATCAACGTGATCACGACGACGCCTCTCAGCCAGCCACCGAGACCTAGCATCCAAATGAGGACATTGGTGCGTCTTGAGGCGAATAAGCAAGTTTGAGGGACAGAATAAGCAGATGCGACCGATCGCAAGTTTTGCAGCTAGCAGTTAAGCAGGATCAACCCTGCAGAAGGTCTGCAGGCTAGGATCTCACGGAGGTCTATTGTTCTGGTAGGTCTGGATGCCCTCCTGAAGATACGTGTACAGTAGAGTAAAGGAACAATGGGGGAGGGGAGAGAGGTACATCTGCATCTCTGCATACACTGCAGTAGCGGCAGCGGCAGTGGCAAATGACAAGGAGGCAAGCAAACAGCCAACCTGCTAGAGACCTTTCACGACAGATGTCAACTTGTCCTGCATCGCAGCTGTGAGGGACGGTTCAACATAACATAGGTGGACGTGTGACCTTCAAATGACAACAAGGTGAATGCGAGAGATGGATTAGTGAATGAAAGATCGGGCCGGTCTAAGATTCCATGGTCAGGCAGTATGTAGCGCCCGTGCATGCGATCAGAGCCGAGATCTGAAGGGAAAAGAGGGGGGATGAAATGAGTCGCCAGGCATTAGCCTGGATTGGGAGCAGGTGGGACTGCAATATGCACAGCCAGTCAAGGGAAGGGAATTGTTGGCAAACGACGAGGGGCAGAATTAGCGCAGGCAGGAAAGAGAGAAGGGGGCGAGGAGAAGGAATGGCCGACCACCACCACCACCCCCAAAAAAAGGAAACAAAAAACAAAAATAATAAACAGAAAGCTAAATCCATACACATCTTTCATTCTATAATCTGAGAGACAACAGAAGTCAGCAGAACAGTGCAGAATCCGATTTATTGATCACAGGAAGCCACAGAAATCGGCCGAATCTCGTGTTTATCGGGCCGAGATCGATCGCGTGCAGTGAATGCAGTAAAGGGCCCTGCGATCGACAGCCGCTATTGAAATGCCCCATTTCCGCCGGGCCGATCCTGGCGCCAATATTATGAGCAGCATGAGTAATATTAACCGATGCTAAGATGTTTTCATTAGGGGTTGGGGTTCTGATGATGACACCAGATGAGAAGAGCACATGTAGTCAAGATACAAAGACTGCCCAGGGCCCTGTTTAAAATGTGGCACACTGCTGTGAGACCTGCCAGCAGTGGGTATTTTCCTCCTAACAACGTACGCAGTGCCGTACAGTACAGTATATATAATAGAATTAGTCTCTCTCCCCATAACATGGTCTTCCGTAGCCCTTGTAACCCCAGGGTAAACCAAGTCAGACTCGTTCCTCATCACAACCATCACAACCGCCACCACCATGGACTATGACCACACCCAAGACATCCTGGGCCAGTTGCCCTTACTGAAGTCTTACTCCCACATGCTCCTCATCTTCCCACTCGCGGACGATGTTGCACGCCCGGAGATCGAAACAGCCCTGGAGTCGGCCATCCACCAACTCATCGCCGGCTTCCCCTTCCTCGGCGGCAAAGTCGTTCACGAGGGCCAAACCCCATCCAGCTCGGGCGTCTTCGTCGTGCGTCCTCAGCTCGCATGGCAAGATCCCAACCATAAGTTCCTGCGGGTGGAGGATCGCACGAACGAGGTCGCATCGCTTGCCGAGTTGCGTGCGACGGGGTGGCCAACGACCTCCCTGCCGAGCCTGCTGGCCCCTCCTCGCCCGGCCTTTCCGCAGCCCTATCCCAACAACAACCCCGATGAAAACCCAGCGCCCGTGCTGGACTTCCAGCTTAACTGGATTCAAGGGGGGCTGATTCTGGCCATCGCGGCCCAGCACAACATCGTCGACGGCAACGGGATGTTCCAGATCATCAATCTGCTCGCATACAGTCTCCGCGATGAGCCGTTCCCCGAGCAAGCCATCCGCGAGGGCAACATCGACCGACGCACCCTCATCCCATTGCTCAAAGACGACGAGCCCATGGACGATCACAGTGAGCTGAAGCCGGCGATTGTCCCCGCACTGTCGTCGGGCCCAGTCACACCGGAGATGCAAGCCTATATGGCGACCTTCAAATGGCGGGCGGTGCGATTCAGCGAGATGTCCATGGCCAAGATCTACCAGAAGGCTGCACCGCCCGCAACAGTCGAGTCGACATCCACCGACCAAGGGCAAGACAAGATCACCCCAAACGATGCGCTGACCGCATTCCTGTGGCAAAGACTGATCACCCTGCGTCTCCCGCACCTGCCTCCCTTCCTGCAATCATCCACCTCCAAGATCACCCGCGCGCTGGACCTTCGGCGCACAATCAACCTCTCGCCCTACTACATGGGCCACATGGTGCGCACGGCCAATCTGCGCCTGCCCCTCACGGAGGTTGCCTCGCTGCCACTGTATGATCTGGCCGTCAGGCTACGGAAACACGTCAAGTCACTGCACAACGTGCACGCCACGCGCAGCTACGCGACGTTCCTGGCCAATGAGGAGGATAAAAGCAAGGTCGCGTACGGGGGCGCATTCAACCCGTTGACGGACTTCTCGTGCTCGAGCATGGCCCACGTCTCGGTGCCGGTGTTTGGGCCGCTGGGCAAGCCGCATGCAATCCGGCGGCCCTCGTTTGAGATCCCCTTGCCGTGTGCGTGCTATGTCGCGCCGGTGATTGATGAGGGGGATGGGGAGGGAGGGTGGGAGGCGTTGCTGTGTCTGAGCGAGCAGGACTGGGAGTTGCTCCGGGCAGATGAGAAGTGGAACGAGGTGGTGCGTTACATTGGTTGATTCATGAGGATCGTGAGGATCAACCAGGTTGCGCCTATTTCGGGGCAGCAATCATGGGATATGAGCGATGAGTGACGAGCGATGAAGCAACGAGTCGATATTGAGTAGTTTAAGTAGATTAGAATGATATCAGTTTCGGCTACTCGATAGTTGCATCTTACTACGGACACACATATTGTTGAGCATATTCAAGCATCAGTACTTGCCTCAGTGTCATACGATGGGAAGCAATCACAAATCAAACCGGCATTGTGATATGCTACGAAGAGAGGCTGCATTGTCTATATTCGCTCTTCCCACTATATCAATACTCTCGCTTCAATCTACACATAGCTCTGTTCTTATCCTTCCATCGTCATTCTGAGTCCAATATCTCATATACGTCGTTGAAGAGAATGGCGAAAACCCCCAGCTGCCTACTTGAACGTCTCCCTCAGGACATACGACCTCTAAAGCTCCCCCTCTGTCCTGAAAATAGCAAACCCAACCCTAAACATCGCCACTCTACAACTCCCTATCTCCCCTCAACCGCCCACAAAGCTGACTTTAAGCCCTTGGCCCTCGTAAAATCTGACTACAACGAGGTCCATCCCTAGTTTCAAACCCACCCAGATTCAGATCAGTCCCATCCCAATCCCGTCCAGCCTCACCTCAATCCCCCCATAATTTAAAAATCAACACTCTCCGTAAACCGCCTATCATCACCCAGTCCGGGCCCCGGTCCAAGATTCGCCGGAAATCCTCGGAGATTTTCCCACGATCTAAGTCCAATTCCCAACCTGCCACCTAATCTGCCAAAGCCCCCCAGCCCCTACCAAAAGAAGACCCCTTGAGCAACCCAACCCTGATTCCATCTCAGAACCCCCTAAAATAACCGCTTCACCGGCCCGTCCGGCAACCCACATTTAGCAACAAAACGCCTTGCCCCCCTGCTTGTGTAGCATTCCCCTTCCCTCCAATTCGTTGGATTGGACTCCTGCTTTCATCCGATACACTATCTACACTAACGCCCCAAGAAAAATGGAAAACCAAACGGGCTGCCGAAACCTGGTCCCTGAGGGTAACCTGTTAAAATCCTGATCTCACCTCCGTTCCGTACTACAGCGAATCCGGTGACACAAAACCCTCCTGCCGCCTCGGAGATATCATTTTTTTTTCTCCTGCTTGGGGCCTGGTTACACGATATGGAGATGTTGTGCAACGGGAGTGTTTAACCTCCCTGCTTGGCTTCCTTTGTTTTTCATGCTTTGTGTTATTCTGGTTATCCATTGCTTTAATTCTTCCCGTTTCAACTGGCAAGCAGAATGGGATGATCTCTCGGTCGAGAGAGCGAGTAATCCTGGGACAGGACACCTTACAGCTCCCAACCACCTCCCCAAAATCCAATCATAACCAGCGCAGGCAGGATGGGGGGAGGGCAAGGAACCAGAGGGATATTTGAGCTCTTCGGTAGTTATCCGGCCCTCTACCTTCTGTACCACCCAGCATCGTAGCCTTAGCCCCCTTCCCCCCAGAAAATTCGTGGGAAGAGAGGGAGGTGACGCGCACGGAGAAGCCAAACTGTGCGGATCTGTTCACTCCTTCAAGCCGGAATGTCGCCCTGTTGGTTTGTCCGCGAGGATTCCGGGCGCTGACTGGAGGAAAGAGGTTGCGTTTGCGCTGTCATGTAGTACAGCCAGTTCACAGGCAAGAGAAGCAAAACATCTGCTGCTTGGGGGGGGGGGAAAGGGTAGACGGGCGACTTCCTCTGTTCGTTTGTTGACACTCCCCGAGAATGGTGACAGGGCATGACTAGCCCTACCTTGGACGTTCTGCAGCCTGAAGCGAAGGGAAGCTGGGAAGGTAGTTGGTTAGGTTTTGCTGAAGGTGCATAGCATAGACTCCGTTGGCTGCCTTGGTTATGGGTTCTGAGTAAGTGGGTGAGTGTGAGCCAGCCTTGGAAGTATGTACTCTCCGCCTGGTGTAGACCCTCCCAAGTACTCCCTTTAGTACCCGTGGTAACATAGCATCCTGTAGTTTGAGATTGTATACCCGCTCGCCCACACGCACAGAACAGGCCGTTGTCCCCAGTGCACGTACACGTACACGTACAATCCACAACCTCAGCCAGCATGACCATCGAAATCGCCATCATCGGCAGCGGCCTTATCGGCACGCTGCTCGCGCTGGGCCTCCTCAACCGCAACTCTCCGCACCTGCGCATCCAGGTCTACGAGCAGGCCGCGTGCCATCGCGAGCTGGGCGCGGGAATCGGCTTCACGCGGGCAGCGCGGCACTGTATGATGCGGCTGGACCCGCGGCTGGACGAGTGTCTGCGCGCGGTGGCGACCGAGAACGGCGAGCCGGGCGACCCGGACTACAACATGCGGTTCGTGGACGGCTACCACACGTACGTGGACAATGACAATCATCAGCCCGTGGGAATCGAGGGGAAAGTCTACAAGCTGTATGCGGGACCGCGGGGATTCGAAGGGTGCCACCGGGCGCACTTCCTGGAAGAGATCATGAAGCTGATGCCCGAGGGGGTGGTGCGGTTCGGCAAACGCTTGGAGCGGTACGAGTATCTTGAGTCGGGGAGGATTCAGTTGGTGTTTGGGGATGGGAGTGTGAGGGAGGTGGATGGAGGTGAGTTGCATCATCCCATACCAATCCACTTGATGCACCCCGAAAGCCCTAACTTCACCACCCACCCAAATCCACAAGGACTAACAGCACACCACAGTGATCGGCTGCGACGGCATCAAGTCGCGCGTGCGTGACCTCATGTTCCCCAACGCAGACCACCGGCCACGCTACGCGCACCAGCTCGCCTACCGCGGCCTCATCCCAATGGACCAGGCGATCGCGCATCTAGGCCGCCACCGCGCCCTCCTCCAGCACATGCACTGCGGGCCTCACGCCCACGTCCTGCACTTCCCCGTCGACAACCAAAAGCTACTGAATGTGGTCGCGTTTGTCCCGGACCCCAAGGACTGGGACGTATCGAGCTTCACGGGAGCTGCCACTACCGCCACAACCCCAACACCAGAGGACACCACCACCACCACCACCACCACCAGAACCAAAAGCCCCAGCCCCAGCCCCAGCACCCCAATCAACACCCCGACTCCAGCGGAGCTCAAGAGTGACGGTGACGCCGACCCTAACGCCAGCACAACAGCAAGCACGACCCCCAGCACCACCACAATCAACACCCCGCAAACGAGCCGCACCACCACTCCCGACGGCACCAGACCAGCCCTAACCACCACGAACCTCTCAAATCAAGATGAAAGCCCCCAAACAACCCCCCAAACCCACCTCTTAACAACTTTCGCACACTGGACCCCCTTCCTCCGCACCCTCCTAACCCTCCTCCCGGACCACCTAACCCAATGGCCGATCTTCGACCTCTACGACCAACCCCCACCCACCTACGCAATCTCCCAAGTCTGTCTCGTCGGCGACGCAGCGCACGCCGCACCCCCACACCACGGGGCGGGGGCAGGCCTGGGGGTGGAAGACGCCCTCGCCCTGGTCACGGCGCTGGGGTGCGCGGAGGCCGATATTCTTTCGGGGAAGCTGACGGTCCCGCAGGCCCTGGAGGTGGCGTTCAAGACATACTCGGATGTGCGGTATAAGCGGTCGCAGTGGGTGATGCGGAGTAGTCGCGAGGTGTGTCGGGCGTATGAGTGGGAGTTGTTTTCCGGAGAGGCCGGCGGGGAGACGGCCGAGACGGGGATGATGGGCCGCGTGTTTGAGGAGATTCGGCGGCGGACGATGACGGTGTGGGGGTTGGATGTGGAGGGGATGGTGGGCGAGGTGCAGGGGCAGTATTGGCGGGGGACGTGGGGGTATTCTTGTTTTTGAGTTCAAGAGTAGTCAACAGGGACAAAGCGTTAGTGTAGTGAGTTGGGTGGGTAGGGTGGGAAGTGGGAAAGTGAGAAGGGAGGAAGAGGAAGAGGGTGTAGCTCTGTTTATGTCAAGCATCGTGGGCATTTCCTTAGCATGATCGAAGAATGTGCGGCAACTGGGGATCATCATTCAATTGATTCATGTGGAACTCATTGCACTGAAAATCAACAAATGCCAGCGATATGTGGAAAGTCAATCTATTCCGGGCTTCTAATCTATGCCGTAACCCCCAGGATCTCCCCTAAGATCGGACTCTGCGTCAACGCATATGCCTCCCGAACATACTCCTCGTTCACCGAGAACGGCTTCGCCATGACATTAGGGATGTACCGCCCCTCCAACTCGGCCATGTTTACGTTGCCCTCCAGGAACCCAGGCTTGAGCAGACACTGTCGGAACCGATCCACCGTCGATTTCAGATGACTCGAATGGAATGGAACATCGATCCCCTGCAGAGGAATACTCGCGGTCCCCCTCTGCAGCTGGATTGGCTTGCGGAGACCCTGTGCCGCACCCAGTAGATTTTTGATGGTTGCATCGATGGCCCTCGTCTCCGTCTGATCGTTCATCATCTCCCGAATCTGATCAGGTCCGTTGGGCGAATGTGACAGTCCATCAAGAACCTTCCCAAGCACCCACAGGTTTGTGTCCTATTCAAGTCAATGGTGGTCCAAGATCCAGAGAAAGATCAAGCAATAGAAGATCAACAACAAAGAACTTACAGTGCCTGAACATACGTATTGCTCCCCCTTGACGTTGTGATTGACAATTTCCAGTAGCTCGTGGCTCACCGCAGCAATCACCTCAACCAGCCGTCCCAAAGTCGTAGCATCGAAGACTACCCACAATAAGCGGGTGTTTTATCATTGTAAATCACATGAAACTTACACTTTCCTACCCGCTTGGGATTCACTGCCGTCATCCCGTATGCCGCTCCCTGTTCCCCCCGCGTCACAGATGCCTGCATTATCAGGCCCCGGTAAAATGACAGCTCAGCCAGCGCACCCATCGGAATAGACTGCGACAGAGCTGACAATGCGCCATATTCGCCCAGGGAATGGCCGGCATACAATGCATCGGGTGAGACATAGCCCTTGCTGCGCAGGTCAGCAATCACGGCTACCTCAAATAGCAGAATCGCCGGCTGGGCGAACTGAGTCGAGTAAAGTAATCCTTTCGGGTCGGTGAAGGTATAAAACGTGGATCGAGAGGTGAGACCCGGAAGGGCAGGTGTTTCGATGCGTGTGTTATCCGGGAGCACTGTCTCAGTTGTAATCGATAGGTAATTCTGTCTGATCTTCCGGCCTTGTTTGCCACCGAAATGAACAGTGATTGATTTGGGATTGTTGCGCACAATGTCCAGCACGGACCAGCCTGTCATGGTTAGCAACCTTTCATTGACCAAGGCACGGAAAACATTTACCGTATGAGTCGTAGAGCTGCACATCGATCTTGTCCCACAAGGCTTTCGCCACCGGACTTGACTCGTAGAGGTCCATCCCCATGCCCTTGCTCTGACTACCCTGACCCGTGAACAGGTACGCCGTGGCCGGCTGATCCACAACAGCGCCACCTTCCAGAACCTTTTCCCCACTGTCCTTGCGAGTGACCTCGATCGCAAAGCGCATGCGTCCCTCAACCATCGCGGTATGCCGGATTTGGACGACCAGCTTCTCCATAGGCATGACCATGCCAGTAAAGCTTGCCTTGAACGACTGAAGCCGACTTCTTTCTCCGTGGAGTGCAAGATGCTCGAAGGCTGCCACTGTGACCGCGGAGGTACACATACCATGCGACAGAGTGCCGGGAAGGTCGGCCACTGAAGCAAATATGCTTGACACGTGGATCGGGTTAAAGTCCTTGGACACGTTGGCGTATGGCTGGTTGCTCGGCGGCATCTGCACTTCGATAGACGACAAGCCTGTCCATCCCGAATTCTTTAGCTCTACCTCCAAAGAAACCAGGCTACCTTTGCGATCTAGGAACTCAAGCACCGGGTTGCCGACGCAGTCATCGCAGCTGTAATTCACCGTTCCTACCTCCTTCCACAAGTACCCTCCGAGCTGCGCTCTGGCAGTTCCAGTCACTCTTAGTCCCTTCAGGCCACCCTCCTTGGGCATAGTATGGGTTTCCAGCGTGAACAGAAGAGTCTTCCCAACCAGTGAAATCGTCTCATCATCGACATAGAACCATTCCCGCCGTTGAAGAACAGTCTCATCAAGCTCAGATCCAAGATAAAGCTTGCGTTCCGGCTCTCTGACGCGTCTGAATAATTCCCTATCCCCATCGAAATTCCCTCGAAATATGAAAGTCGATGTCACCACGAGAACCGGTTTATCGGAGCGCATAATCTCGGCTTCCACAACGACAACCATACCAGCCTCTTCAACAAAGATAGCTCGGACCTGTGACTGTGAACGGACAACATCACCAACACATAGCATTGCCGCATCAGGGCAGTATTCGAATGTGTTTGACCGGTGAACCAGCCGCAGCAGGTCATCACCAACATCCTGGAGCACCAAAGGCTTTGCCAAAACATCCCAAGCTATGACAATTCCGATGCTGATAGGTAGGACATCTGAATCATGGAAGATAAGTCTTGGATCTGGGAAGGCCTGGCCAACAGCCGCAATCATGTCCTGTAGCACCTGCTCGGTGAGAGTCATCTCCTTCCCGTAGTATGTATCATGGATACTACCACCTGTTGACACATCTTCCCCGAACCATAATCGGCTGTAGAATGATTTGACTCGTGTGTTCCTTTCGTTCATTATTTCACAGAGACTGAAGGGGATGCTGCCAGGATCAAAACGATAAAATAGCCGCAGTGGTTCATGTACTTGAGGAGGATAAAGTTCCAGAACAATATTCACGCCGTTCGGGCTCGAAAGCTTCATGGAGGAGGTTACCCGGCATGCATCTTGGACACAGACCGATATTTCTCCTCGGTCTGGATCATAATGGAAGATTGCATTGGGGTTCGCTGCGATGAAATGCTGGAATGGGTTCCGCTGTCGTCGTCTGTTCTGTAGCAGCATGGGGTCCCCAAATACTGCGCGTATCCATGGAGGCAAACTCCGAGACAAGCTTAACCCAGCAGCCGAAACATGCAGGGACCGGTCATCAAGAGCGTCGGAGGTCGAAATGGACGTTGGAATTGACATGTCATCAACAGCTATCTCTCTTAATCCGGAAATTGACGACCAACTGTCAGGAGTGGCCTGTCCACTAGCGGAGCTGGAAGTTAAGTCTTCTAAGCAATTGTCGCGTTGGAAGCGCTCAATGAGTCCATTCAAGATGCCATCCAGTATCTCCTGGGCAGATTCATCCCGGTCAACGGAGTATTGTGCAGCCACAGGTCCGTGCAATATACAAACACGCTCGGGATTTTGGTCAGGCACGGCTTCGATATCTTCCGCCTGCCAGAGGGAGTCCTTCTTAAAATACCACTCAAAATCTTCGTTGAGAGCCGGTATAAAGTTAACCGGCTTCTGATTGGGCTTTCGGCTCTCCAGAAGAAAGAATGAGACATCTTCTGGGTTGAGGACTTCGTCTTTAGCTGCAGGACATACGTCAAGTATGAAGCGAAGGAATAGCTCTGGGTTCTCTGAGAGTACCGCGTGTGATATGTCCGCGCGGTGATCAATCGAAGCACATGGCAAGCGCTCCAGGGTCCGAGTCGCGATGTTGAAGGTAAAGCGCTCGTAAGAAGGGTCTATCCATCGTTTTTGATGACGGACATACATCAGATCAACCATACGATGAAGTACTTCCGCGTAGGTCATGTCTTCCAACTCCACCACAACACCGCGAGCATCTCGACCAAACCAGGGTTTTGCAAAGTCTGAATTCAGTCGTTGAATGATGGAGTCTCGGTCCTTGGTCAAGTACGCGACTCGGTCCTTTCTGGGCAGCTTGAACACCGTTCGATCCATATCCGCCCAAAGTTGTACTCCTCGAGTGGCGATCTTGTGGATAGGTTCACCCATCTCCGACTGGACGGTAAGAATTCCTCCTGCTGGGCCTGAATATGTCTTCACCCATTCGCTATCTGGAACACCTGGGGTGTTTGTAATGACTTGCTTGACGGCAGGAGACGTGTGTGCTTCTCGGGCCACCATCAAGCGACTACCCAGCAAAACGCCATCAAAGGGCATACAAGGGTAGCCATGCGAAACAGACCATTGTCCCGAGAGGTATGGGTAGATGCCCTCACTGTTCCCGAACCCGCTACCAGCAACTAAGTAGATGTTGGGTTGCTGTCGAATGGTGCCATATGTGCTCAAGATAGGAGCGTGGAAGTCCTCATAAGAATGATGTCCTCCCCCTCGACCACCCGTCCACTGTAGAATGATGGGAAAATCAGGATGTGACTTTGCAATATCCACGACTTGTCGTATCGTAGACACCGAGCTTGGTTTGAAACTGATATGACGCAGACCAAGTGTCCGGATATACTCCGAAACTATCTCTCCTGAAGGTACTCCCGCGCCAATCGTGAGTCCATCAATTGGGATTCGATCGTGCGATAGGCGGCGTAGCATGGCTACCTGCCAGCCCATTGCTCGGGGGTTTGCATAGATGAGGTTGCAAGTGACTCCACGACCGGGGCGAATATTGTCAATCAGCTCTTTAATTGCCGATGTCATATCCGAGCTACTTCGATAGCCCCCGCCGGCCAGTTCAGCGTGATATCCAGCGTTCATGATGGAGGCAACGAAGTCCCAATGCACAGTCGTTGGGGTCATAGCAGCAACCATAATCGGTGGCGAACCCAGCAAGCGGCTCAGTCGGGTCTCAAGCGAGACTGTGCCTCCATGCACCAGCCGCGGTTGATACCGCTGGCTCCAGCTCTGAATTCTCGTCGATGTTTGTAAGAGACGTGGCGAAAAGAGGTCACGCATAGTCCCGATCTCAGAATCGCGAGATTCTAGATCGCTAGCCTGTATGAT